GGCAGAAAGTTGCTATTGTTGTGCCTTATAGGTTAGATATTGAAAACAAAAATATTTTCTGAACAAAAAAATATTTTAGAAATAGAGAACCTCATTTACGAACATTTCTTCATAATATTCATCGGTTTTTACAAAAACAGCAATTAGATTATGCCATATTTATTGTTGAACAAATTGGAAACAAATTACCTTTTAATAAAGCGAGAATGACTAATATTGGTGTTTTAGAAGTAAAAATTAGTATTATAATTTTAAGCATACAGCTATTTAATCCCTAACAAAGGAGAGTGCCTGAGGTGTCCGTGGGACTTCGTGATGAAATTTGGTAGACAGATAGATTGTACCCTGCTTTAGTTGTGTACTTTAGTTGTGAAGCGTCTGAAATCCGAGTTCCGACCCATCTCTGTTCGGGACCTAAAAATCTGAGCACTTATTATTATATTATTGTGAAGATCCAAGGATATGCGGTAGGCGTCGTTGTGTAATGGATAAGCACATCAGTCCGGCCTACTGAAGATACTGGTTTGCTCCCAGCCGCCGACTAAGCTCTTGCGCTAGCTAAAGGAGAGACTTCTTTAAAAAGAGCCCTGGTGCTTTTTACATATAATCTCTCATATAGCCCTGGTGCTTTTTACATATAATCTCTCACCTCTATCTAGTCTGAAAATGTTTAAATCGCACTCTGGTGAACAGTGTGACCTCTTTAAAAAAAGAGATTATACAAGGTTTACTTTATTTATTTTTTAAGGCTTTGAGAGTATATCCATTTGATTGTATTGTATTTAATGATATTGATACATATCCAGAGAATGACAATCTTTTATATAGATGCTCAACAGATCCAAAATATACTAGACATTTTAGTGTTTATATGGAACGTACGGGCTATAAGTAAATAAATTTTGATTATTTCACTTATTAATTTAATTATTAGAGAGTTATATCCAGAATTTGTTGGTGGCGTTCTCGCTCTAACAGTAGAACAACTGAGAAAAGTTAATGGATATTCAAATGATTTTTGGGGATGGGGTCAAGAGGATGATGATTTAAATAAGAGGTATTTTAAAGTAGTTATATCTTGAAATAAAAAATATTTTAGAGTAAAGTTAGCAAACATGAGCTTTATAAGAAGTAAAACTGAAATTTCTCGCTTTAAAAATTTCATACATAAAAGAGATCGTGGGAATGAGCCTCATCCGTGAGTTATTTTTAAATTAATTATTATGTTTCTTCGAACTTTGATTACCCGGGCTCTATTTTATCATTCTTCTTTGTGAAATTTTATCTAAAAACTAGGGTTGGTCCCCGCCCTCGTCCCCGAAAGTCGGGGAATCTGAGAGATTATTTAAAATTTCCCCGCCCCACCCGTAAAAAATAAAATAATTCCCCGCCTCCCGAAAAGCTTTCCCCATGACACTCCCTCCGTCGGTGACCAACTCTCAAAACGATAATTTATCAATATTAGAGATAGCTTACTTCTTTAAACAAAGGGGGCTTATTCAATTCTAGAGGAGATAATCCCAAAATAAAAATACATGTATTATCTATTCATTATTTATTTTATAGATGTCGTTATAAACTTCTAGCCCTCACTGAACAAAAGTACCTAACAGATGGATACAGCAATTTAAATTATAGAGTGGAATCTATTAATTATGGAAAATTATATACTCACATAAAGGTAAATATTTAATAAAAATCATGTCATCTCCACATCATTAATGAGGCTATAAGTAAATTATTAGCTAATTAATATACGAATAGCTACTGGGCCGCTTCATTAACTATAAGCATAAACTCCCGAAATCGCTTATATTTTCTTAATATTTTTTGATTAAAATAATTTTTCTTAACTTTATTTAAAGGCAATTATTCCCGAAGAAGATTATACTAAATGGAAGGAATATATTAAAACTATTGGGTGTTAATTGAAACACTTTTATTGGCATATTTGGAAGAATTATTTATTTAATTTAAATATTTCCGTTAACTTCAAACTTTTAATCTACAGCATCATCAAGAGTTGTTCCCATGAACATTAAGTCAGATCAAATACCTTAAATTATTTCTTGAAATCCTCTTCCTCAACGTTTTTTTCAAAAATAACCTCTTCAAATTTTTCACTGATGTTTTAATTATTAAAAAAAATTTTTTTTCCTATTTTACTCATTCCTATTAATTTGTGATTTCATGAGGAAAACATGTGTACCTATCTATAGTTTTCTTTAAATTATATTTTAAAAAACCTCAATCAAAAAACCTCCCATTCCTTTAACACGTATTAAATCGTGTAAAATATAATTTAATGTTGGCGGGACTGGGCCGTTTTGGCGCGAGCTTATAAGATAGCGAGTTCGTTATCAAAAATGATAAAATTTTGCAATAATAACTCTCGCACCTTTATCTAAGTTCTCCAAAAATTTCAGAATTTTTGATCAAGAATTTCGGAAATTGTGGCCAAAAATGTTGATTTTCTGCAAAATGCCTAATTTTTCGAGGTCTGTCGACTATAACTTCGGAAATATTTCATGAAAAATTCTGAAATTTCTGGAGGAGGTAGTCAAGGATGTTAAAGAAATTTGAGAAAATTTTTATGAAGTTAGGTCTCGCCTAAGTACCACTTTTTTGTTCTCGCGCCAAAACGGCCCGGCGCCAAAACGACCCCAACCCATGTTGGCTGGTTATTTTGTGTTAAATTGTTTGTTTGCCTTTTCTTAACCTTTTTACCCATCTTGATTTTATTTAAATTCTTTATATAAAATAAGCATTTAAAAAATATTTTTCAAATAATTTTTGAATAAAATCTTTGAACTAATAAATTGATAAAATTTATTTTTGACTATAAAATAAGCATGTATGTAAGTTCACTTGATATAAAGTTTTGGTATGGTACCCGACCAGCAAAAATTTTCAATACCTGAGAAAACTTTTGCACACTAAACCACGAACCCAGCTTGTTTGAAGAAAATTTTGAAAACCTATCTGAACTCTGACCCGACTTTTTTTCGATGCGACCCATCCCTGCTTTTAAAACAACGTCAATCTTTCATTATACATATTAGTAAAATCAAAACTGATTTGAATTAATAATAAATATTAGGATTGTTCCCCGACAAGGGGGTGGGGAGAGTCACGGCGAACAATTTTCGGAGAGGCAGCCCCACGGGGTGTAGGGCGTGGAATTTTCAAAAAAATCTCTTAAATTCCCCGACTTTCGGGGATGGGGACCAACCCAAATAAATATGAATTTTTATGAAAATAAATTTATTTAAATCTTTTTTATAATTCAATAAAAAAATTTTAAAACATGAAACATTTAATTTTATTTTAAATTTTTATTGGAGAATGTGTCATAAAAATCATTACAGCAGCGTTCTTGCGTTTACGTTTTTAATGACAAACATAGGAGCGAGCGTGTTAGGACTTATTATCGAAGAAATTGGGAGAATTTTTTGCACAATCCCCAGCCCACAATTATTTTTAAAATTCATTAAATAAGGCATTTAATTCCCTAAAATTTTATTCCTTAACAAAATAAAGGCATTTTATTCCCTAAAAATTAACAAATCTTTCACCTTTGATCATGGCTTTTATTCATAGTTAATAAACGAATAAAATCAAGGTAAAATTTTGTAATATCTCCCATACTCCGATTCGAACAATTAATATGCAATTCGAAAGAGCTCAGTGAGATGAGTTGAATCGCACCAAAATTATCTTCGGGCTCAACTATGGGCTGAGATACAGACCCCGAAAATTGTCTAAATCGGAGTATGAGAGATATTTATGACTGATTTTTCCCAAAATCAAACAAAATCAAAAAATCAAAAATATATTCAAGATCCATGTCCAAATAAAAGGCCAACTAATTTTATAAAACATTTTCATTTCCAGTTTTCTTCAATAAATGGCTGTAAAACCTTTCATAAAAGTTCTAATATTTGTTTCTTCGGCCCTATTTGCAGCTTATTTATTTCGTGAATTTGTTATTAGCAGAGAAGCAGCACAAATTACACAAATTTCACGTTTAATTAAATGGCAAATGGATTCGGTTACGCCTAAAAAAGTTGAAGATGAGGATAAAATTAATTTATTAAAGGATAATAAAGAAAATACGGAAGAGAAAATTGAAGAGAAGAAGGAGGGGAAGAAAGAGGAGAGTAAAGAGGGGAAGAAAGAAGAGAAGAAGGAAGAGGGGAAAGAAGAGAAGAAGGAAGAGAAGGAGGAGAAGATGAAGGAAGAAAAAAAGGAGGAGAGGAAAGAAGAGAAGAAGGTAGAAGGGAAAAAGGACGAGAAGAAGGAAGTGAGGAAGGATGAAAAGAAGGACGAGAAAAAGGAAGTGAGGAAGGAAGAGAGGAAGGAGGAGAAGAAGGAAGATAAAAAAGAAGGGAAGAAGCAAGTGAAGGAAGATTTAGTTAACGATAAAACAACTACAATCACTATTAACACCAATAAATTAACTAATTTAATGAAAGAAAACAATACTGGACCTCAATTAATCGAAATATCAAAGATTTGGAGAGTCAAACAAGTAACGATATTATAGACAAATTCCTTTACTATAAAATCCTTTCCGAGTATATCCACAAAAACACACCCGGATCTTGGATCAATCATAGAACTGTACTAAGTTGGTGCTCTCGAAGGCATTCCAGGAGCTCCTTAATTTTTATTCAAAAATTTAAAAGGGTTGTATTACTACCTAATAGTATCTTTCGAACGGAATTTTCCTCTAAACTTGATATTTTTAAGTATTTTAAAACATTTAAAGGACAATTTAACACTCTGTCCAGAAATCCCTCCAAATCTAAAAGGCAAAATAGATGTAGATATGCGTTCTCTAAAATTGGAAGAAATTGAGGAAGAATATAAAGATTTATGGCCTGGTGGGCATTGGAGACCTAAAGAATGTAAATCCAGGCAAAAAGTTGCTATTGTTGTGCCTTATAGGTTAAATATTGAAAACAAAAATATTTTTTTAACAAAAATAGGTATTTTAGAAATAGAGAACCTCATTTACGAACATTTCTTCATAATATTCATCGTTTTTTACAAAAACAACAATTAGATTATGCAATATTTATTGTTGAGCAAATGGGTACTTTTGCCTTTAATAAAGGTAGACTGACGAATATTGGTGTTTTGGAAGTAATTATATTTATTTTTAATTTATACATCTGTATTAAATACCCAAAGTATATGCTTATATGAAAATAAGTTGATTAACAACTAAATAGAAAAACCTAGCTCGAGTACCCAGAGCTCTATAGGAGCGCGTTCCGAGCCTATCTTTGTTGAAAAACAGTGGTCAGCCTAATTAGAGTTATTAAACATGGTGGTATTCTTGACATAATATAGCACATATAAGGTTGTTCTTGAGCCGTGAGGATAAGATTTTCGAGTAATAGATATCAGGAGTCAGCCTAAGAATCATGGTAAGGATTGGAGGGGAAAAAGATAACCAAAAATTTGCATATTTTTTTATTTTAAAAGGCTATAAGAGTTTATCCATTCGATTGTATTATATTTCACGATGTTGATACATATCCAGAGAATGACAATATTTTATATAGATGCTCAACAGATCCGAAACATACTAAACATTTGAGTGTTTATCTTGAAAGGATTGGTTACAAGTAACTTAAAAATTAAATAAACTTGATATCTCTACTTGAGCGATTATCAACCATTTTCCTTACCATACAGACTGCTAATTAATTGAGAAATCTGTTAATTTGGATAGGGCAGCTCAAATAATGATAAATCTTACTAAAATCTCTTTATTTATTTTTAACTAGAGAATACTACCCAGGATTTATTGGTGGAGTTCTCGCTCTAACTGTAGAACAACTCAGAAAAGTTAATGGATATTCAAATGATTTTTGGGGATGGGGAGGGGAAGATGATGATTTAAATACAAGGTATTACCCGCTAGATAGTTTAAAATAAAAAATATAATTTTAGAGTGAAGATAGCCAATATGAGTTTTCATAGAAATAAAACAGAAATTTCTCGTTTTAGATCATTTAAACACGACAAAGATGCAGGAAATGAGCCTCATAATTAAGTTTTTCTCTAATTAGAGAATCCTTCTGTTTTAAATATTTCAAAAATTTATCTTTTAGATGTCGGTTCAAATTGATAAAAATGACAAAGGAAAAATATTTAACAGATGGATTCAGCAATTTGAATTATAGGGTCGAATTTATTAATTTTGGAAAATTGTATACACATATAATGGTAAGTTTTGAAAAAAACTTTATAAGAAAACCTTTTAAATTCCTTTATAAAAATTTTATATTTTGGTTAACTATTATTATTATTGTCTAAAGAGGGACTTTCGAGGAAATTCTTCTTGGGTCTTTTTATCTGTTAGGACTAGGTTAGCAACCCGAACCTTCCGGGGCGGGTGTGTCGGGTCGGGGAGAGCCTTTGGGGTCGGGGTTTTCGGGGTCGGCTTGCTATCCTTGTTAGGGTCATGAAAAAATTGGCTAATTTTTATTTTGTCACGTTTTATGCGTTGTCACGTTTTATGCGTATAAATTGAATTGAATTATCGGGAATCGAAGTTCAAAATCAAGGAAACAAACCCAAAAATTATTTGAATCTAATAGACCAATAAATATAAACAGAAATTATCAATAAAATCCACTAACTTTAGTAAAATTTAAACAATTAAAGGTAGATGTGCTAGAAGAAGAGTATAATAGATGGAAAAAATATATTAAAAAAATAGGATGTTAATGATGAAAAGTTTTTATCAGATTAATCTAAATTGTTTATATTTTTAAATTATGAATGATTAATATTTTTGATTAGAATTTATAAATTATTAATTTTTTAATCACGGAACGACCAGAATTGTTATGTCCAAGGGTTGTCCGAGAATTTAACTAATGTCGAAATTATCTAGCAAACTTAGCTAATATTTTCAAATTCATCTAAAATCATCCAGCCCAGGTGCTTTAACTTTTGCACCCAAAAAATTCAACCACATTTTATAATTATAAAAAAATTGTCAAATTATCATTATTGATAAAAATTTGTATTCATTAGAAAGTTATTACTGTTATTATTATCATTTTTATTATTATTATCAATATATCGACATGTTTAGATAATTAATCAAATTATCACATTATTGTTGGATACATGTTGCAACAAATAGGCGAATATTCTTCTAAAGGGGAAAGGAGTGTTGGATCCATTTATTTGACAATTTATTAATTAGTTTTAAAATATTACTTTCAAATATTTATTGCCCCAAATATGTATGTTGTAAATGTTTGTTATCTTTTTCCTATCTTAAATATTCAAAACATTCCCTCAAAACAAACATTTACTTTGACCTTAAACTTCCGCTCATTTATTTTAAATAATTTACTTTCTTATCTATGTTTTACAACTTTCTCGTCTGACCTTCTTCCGCCCATTTCCTTACCCTATAAATACTCATTTGTTTTTACCCATTTTCAAGCTCGTCTTGATCACACTTGCTCCCTAAACTTAACCCCAACTTATTAAAATAAACTTTATTAAACTTGTATAATTATTGTCTGAGTGAATTAGATTTATTTGAGTATTTAAAAGATATTTAAACTTATTTATTTATTAGAAGAACCGGGATATAATAATTATCAGCTCCCATATATTTTCATTATTTTTGTGCCACGAAACCAATTTTTCTTTGACCAAAATCATAAACCTTTAGAAATATAAACCTCTAAGATGAGACGAAAATTACATCACGAGTGTGACTAGATTAAAAATTCTTGTAAAATTACCGTGCAATATTTTCGAATGAACGGATCGCCAAATATCCATAATTCTGAACCTTTAATTAGATATATTTATAGTTACATCGAATAGTTTTACTTGATAATATAATATAATTTACGGAGATTCGACCTAGAGACTGTTAATTTTTAACAAAGTTATAGCAATATGAAACTCAATTATTTTATAGCCGTCCCCGAAATTAAGTGAAGTTGCCTATTTTTTGAAAATAAAATTTAAAATTACCTCCAGAAGCTATTCCAAACTCACAAAATTCATCGCCAATGTCTTCATTGCGAATGGTCAAAACCTCCTAAATTTTAAAATATTTTAGTGTCATTAAGCAGAGCTAATAAATTCTGGTTATAATCCACGTATCATACAATTAGTGACCGGCAAAATCGTATTCCGCGTGCGAGAGTAACTTTAGAAAAGTTTGCAGGAGTAACACCCGCAGGAATAATCATGCACTTCCGCAAATTGCGGATTTTCCTAAATTTTGAAAAAAATTTCAAAAAGCATTCGGAGGCAAAACCTTAACCTGAAATACATATTATTCGATCCGTCTCATTCTGATCGGGGTTAGAATCGAAAAATCGTAAGAAGGCATATTCAAGGCGAAACAAATTGGAACTATACAAATTCGAATAGTTTCAGCTAAATCAAATGAAATCAATCATCGTGATCAGGGGTAGGCGAAAGAGACAATCCTTTAAAAAACTAGCCTTTCCAAGCTTAAAATCCATTCCACCAATTTTAAATACAACAGGTTCAAAATCTTTGTCACAAGGAATTAAAATCATCCCTTCGTATATTTCAATATCACCAATTGAATCGTAAATATGTTTAACTGCCGTCTTTGGGCCTGAGATTAAAGAAGAACCAGTGTCTGAGATTGCCTCTTTTGATTTGATGTCAATTGGATTTCCTATATGGCTCAGGCTCTATAAAAATTCAAAAAATTTTTTATCTTTTGTTATCTATTGTTCGTAAATATGCAGCCAAAAATGGCGAAATATGCTTTAAAATTCAATATTTTAAGTAAAAAACTAATTTATTATAGCTTTTAATCTAAGCCAATATTTAAGGCTGACGACCTTTATCTTACGATTCGTCTATGTAAATAATTTAATTAAATTTACATCTAGCCTGAATCTCCAATAGATTGAATTATGAGCTTTTACCCAATGAACAGGAGAACCACAATGTTCGTTGTCGATCCCGCCAAATGTTATATCTTAATTAATTTTTATCAATTGAATTTCAAGCTTGACTAATATCCCAAGTCTTTTAATTAATCTCTTACGCAGCCTAGCATGGCCAGTGGCACAACAAATTTCAAAAACGATCTTAAACTGGGTGTACGCAATTTTATCCGGAAGTTTGGCACCAAGACCAAAGTTCCGAAAAATCTCGGTGACCAAACTTTCCGGTGATCAAAATTACTGTTGCCTTAGATTGAGGTGTATTGGTTGAGGTGCATTGGGTGATTTAAGAATTAGGCTAATTACAGGGTGCGGCAAAAGTTCCCGTACTTTTGTTAAGCATAAAATTTATTTCAAATATTTTTTTTAATTTTATAAAATCTATGGAAAAGTATGCTTAACAAAAAATCTATGCTTAACAAAAGTACGGGAACTTTTGCCGCACCCTGTAATCCTTTCTCACCTCCACCATATTCTCCATTTCCAGAATCCTTCGAGTTGTGCATATACACAGAAAAAATACTTTTATTAATTAATTTATTATGATATGCAGTGTATAGAGGAGATTCAAAGCCACAGAGATCATCACTTCTTGGAGGGCCCAATCCAAAAATTCCATCAATTTTGAGTTCAAACATAGAACCTCCGGATTGTGCATCTGAGGCTAGTCCAATTAGGGCAGTGGGCACAGTCAATATATTTGGGTCATCTTTCGAGCCGAACTGAAAGGCATACATTAACTTAATAAATAAAATTCCAGGAAATTTTTTGGTTAGTGAGGGTTGTAGTTTCGGATATTTTAGGATGCTTCTACATGACATTTAATAATTATTCCAGGTTTTGCGCTAAGATTCATACATCAGTCGACTAAGTATCGAAATTTGACAGTACATACAATTTTTGTTTAAAAATCTGAATACTGCCTCGACAACACATCATGAAGATATATATTTTCAGACATCAAAAACACAAACTTTGCTAGCTTGCACCCCGAGTCCAGGCAAATTTTTGACTAAAACTTCGTAACTAAGACCCCTATATTCTCAACTCCGATACGGCAATGTTGGGGCACCAATCCGGTGTATGAATACCAAAAGGTTTTTACATAAACCCCTTTGATTAGAAAAAATTAAATTTTAATATAATGAGGGTATCATACATTTAATGTTAAGTTTGCCATCTAGCCTTAATGGTCATGCAGATTTTAAAATTTTTGAGAATTAATGCCAAAAATGTTCAAAAGGCAATAATGTAATAATGTACCTTTAACCTATCAATACCCAAAAATCCTTGACTAAAAGTCCCATCTGCATATTTACATTCGAATTCAGTATTTGTTGTTAAAAAGGTTGAAGATGAAGAACTATCAAATTTATTCACTAAAATGGACATTTTGAACATAAAAAATATACACTTTACCTATATTATCACTATTTTCTTCACTATTTGATTGACAACAGGAAGAATCAAGAACCCAAAAAGATGTTGAACCCGTATCGATGACTACATTGAATTCTTGCCCTGGGGTGCCTGGAATGTTTTAGTATTTGGGTCATTAAGAGATTATTTTCGAAACATAAGTTTTACATGATTGAGAGTCTCGTATGAGATCTGGTAGCTTGAAAAATATAGAAAACTGTGAGAAAGTTGGAGTTCCCGTACAAAAATCATAGACCCTAAAAGGGAAAGCTAGAAGGGAAAGCAATCAGAATCTAGAAATAGTGGTAACAATTAACGATATATGAAGGTTCTTCACTTCAATATCAACTAGTGATGTTCGAGACTCTCAGTCTCGACTCTCGAGTCGGGAAATTTTTCGTGTTTTTGAGCTCTCGGTTGAGCTCTCGGTATTATCAACCAAAATACCACTTCGTGAAAAAAATATAATATTTTAAATAGGAATGGGAGGGATCGTACGGAAATTGATATAGCAAAAAATATTGATCTCGATAAAGAAAATCGTCTTTGTTTATCCCCAAAATTATTTACCCGCCTATAGTAACTGTAGCGGTAAAAATAGTATTGTAGCTGTCAATAAGAGGAGTTTCATATTCTTTAGTCATCCTTTTAGTTAAAAATTTGTATTTTTGTTGAAATAAATTTTTGATTTTATTCATTGTTATCGCTTGAAAGGGGCCATTTTTCCTGTTTAATCGATGACGCTTATATGGCAATTTGAAAGAACCACTAGTGGTTGTTGTAGTTGAATAAATATCAGGAATTATTAAAAAATAAAGGGAAAATGGGACAAAAAGTTTAGAAAAAAATTTGAGCATTTTTGAGCAAATGGGAAGTGAAAAAGGGAAAGAATTGTTGTAGTTGAAAGTGAAATGAATGGAATGTTTTGAGTTTGGAAAAATTTTTTCCTAAAATAAATTTTGAAAATTATATTTAAATTTATTATATTATAATTTAAAATATAGCATTATAATAGACAGATATGATTAGGAACTTAAAAATATGCAAATGCAAGTTTTGTATGCGGATATGCCTTGATTTGAAGCCTGAAATTGTGTTCTCGTGTTGGTCGGGAAACTTTCGGACCCAGATCACAATGCATATATTTTTTTGTTTTATGATCAGGAAAGTCCAAATTTAAAAGACAAGCTAAGAATTAAAATTTAATCTTGCTACGGGGCCAAGATCCGTTTAACCTTAACTTTAGGTGTTTTAAATTGCTTCCAAAAATATAAGAAGAAAACGCTACACCAATAAATATTCATGCAAAACTCAATAAATTTAGCTAATTATTAAATCTATCGCTGTATTATTCCAATTACAATATAAGACAAATCTCAGAAAATAGTATTGTTTAATGAAAGTTTGCTTAATAAAATTATTATCCTTTTAATATAAAGCTAAAGTATAATAAATTTTAAGTAGCTTATTGTTTATTTTATTATTACTAAATCATTACTGCCATAATAGATATGGTCATACGACACTTGCAGATATGACATTTGCAGACCCGACATTTGCAGTCGACTTTTGCAGATCGACATTTGCAGATACCGAAAGTTGCAGATCAGATTTTTGCAGATCAGACTTTTGCAGACACGACATTTGCAGATATTAATTTTTGAAAAAAATTTTTTTTAATTAAAAAAAAATTTAAAAATCTTAAAAAATCAAAGGTGGAAAGGTTTCGATATAAGACCCATACCATTCGATTTGACTTGACGAGCTGATCGAACGGTACCACTTTTTTCCGGAGGTTCAAAATGTTCAACGTAGACCTATGGAGCGTCGGCGAGGCGCTTGTGCAAAACCCCGCGCTTCGCGCGGGGTTTTGCGGCACGCGCCTCGCGGGGAGTCAACGGTCGCTGGGTTCTGGGCTCGTAACATGATCCTATTCCTATCATCGATGAGATGGGCATCCCAAGATTCCTCAGCAGCAGCAAACACTCCACGGTGCATACGTAAGGTAAAGAAGAGGTCAAAATGGGTCTAATCTGCAAAAGTCGGATCTGCAAATGTCTGATCTGCAAGTGTCATATCTGCAAGTGTCGGTATCTGCAAATGTCGGGTCTGCAAAGGTCGGGTCTGCAAGTGTCGGGTCTGCAAATGTCATATCTGCAAGTGTCGTGACACGATAGATATATTTGGCCAAATTTATTAAAATATTAATTCAATAAAAGAAGAAATTGAGGAAAAACAGGTAAGGAAAAAAATCTGGAAAAATTCAAATTTATGAATGACTAATGGAATTTATGTAAATATTTTTGTGGCTCATACATAATACTCGTTTATAAAAATTTTTTGTTGGGAAAATATTTTGAAATTTGGAAAAACTTTTTTTAATTCTTTCATAATGACCTTTGTTAATAAAAAAAATTTTTTTTAATTTGAGTGAAGAAATAAGCAAAATTTATTTTTATTTATTTAACTGCTATCTAAACAATTTCAAATTTAAATTTAAGTTTCATGGGGAAAGTGCAAATTGATTTTTTGCTTTTTTTGAAACAAAAATCTAATAAATTTTTTTATTTTAATAATTCTAATAAAAATGAGAATCCTTTTTTAAATTTTATCTCAATGAATTTGCTTTATAAAATACATATTTATTCTAACTTATAAACAGGAAAAATGGACCAGGTTATGGCCTCAACGTAAAGTTTCTCTGCCTACCATTTTTACATTAGTCGCAATACATTTGGTGTGAGTTTTCTCTTATGGCCAATCTCAATGGCATAACTATGTAGATAACTTTTAAACTAAACTATTCAAATTACAGAACTCTTAACTTATTTTTATTACAATTTAGAATATTTATATCAAGTAAAAAAATTTAATTTATTATTTTAAATATTTTTGTTGACATTTTTATGCTTTTTGACTTTTTTCTATTTGTTCCCAACATGTAAGAGGATTCCCCCTTTGTTGGATGATTTTTTATAAATAAATAAATAAAAGCTGCAGACTTTTGATATTAATTCTGTGTACTTCCACACACATTATTCCGTTTCTTTCATTTTGGCAAAATTATTGACCTCTCATCATGATATTTTGTAATAAAGAGGGATGATATGGGAAAGACATTTATTAATAAATAAACCCTCTTAGTAAAACAAAATAATTCCTATATATTTATTGAAAAAGTCATTTATACGTCAATGTGTATACGTTATAAATAGGTTGGCATTTTCTTAAATTAAGGTCATTTTTTATACTTTTCCTGCAAACCTGTGGAATAAATTCTCTGCAAACGATTCTTTTTTGAATAAATAGAAAAATATTGGGTTGTCATTCTGTTAGCTTTCCTAATCAAGGTTGTAATTGCTTAACCCTTCTTTAATTAGGGTTTCTTATTCTTGGGAACTGCCTTGTACCGCGAGCCTAACCTACCGCCGAGGCTATAAAATACTTCAAATTTGTCGAATCAGGGTTCCCTGGTATTGTTGGATGCAACCAAACGAGCTGAATCAACCATACAAGTGTCCCGGATTCGATAATTTTGAACGAGGTTATAGCTCGGCGGTCCTTGGCCTCGCGGTACATTGGGGGATAGTGTACCCTTTATTCTTTATTTAGGTTTTTACTCTGTTTATGTTTGTAAACATCAAAATATCCATAGTTTTTTTTAAATTCCAACAGAAATGGATAGTCTAAGTGAGGAAACAATAATTTTTTAGAAATGATCGATCTAGAGGGTGAGAGGCAAAACTTCGAATGACAAAACTCAGTCCAGACAAAACTTCAACAGACAAAACTCCGTATACAAGACTTTGTCCAGCAAAACTCCGACATACCAAAACTTAGTTCAAAGAGAAAAAAATGCATTTTAAATTGTTTGGGTCTTTTAGGTTTCGAGGAATAGGAGGGTTCGTTTTCAGGAATAGGTTCGAGGAATAGGGGGGGGGGGGGGGGTCTTACGTACCGTTACCGAAAAAATCAATCTAAAGAACACTAGGCGGAACAACATCTTTCATTATAAAAAAACAAGCAACATTCATAGCGCCAAAATAACCGTTAAAAATGCATTTTTTTCTTGTTGGACGAAGTTATATGGTCGGACAAAGTTTTGGTAAAAAAGTTGTCTACAGAGTTTTGTCGTTCAAGGTTTTGTCTGGTCGAAGTTTTGCCCTGACGAGGAAGAACGACATTTGAGCGATGATTAGTTGGAATTTTTATAAATAAAAGTAAATTTAAGTGTTAATAAAAAAATTCGGTGTCTTAATTATTCAACAGAATCCATAATATTATGACAATATTAGAAAAACAACAAACACTGCTTTTATCTGATAAGATAAAAGCAATTAATAAGGCATTACCTTATGAATTAATTGTCGACATATTTGATGGAATAACTGTTGAGGTATGTTAAAAAATTTTAAAATAAAATTTGATTAAAAATAAAACAAGTTAATTCTTACTAATCTGCACATAGAAGTGAAAACATAAGGGACTGGGCCATTAGGGCGCGGGGCCATTAGGGCGCGAGCTTATAAAACCGTGATTTGCTTATCAAAAAAAGATAAAATTTTGCAATAATAACTCTCATGCCATAATAACTCTCATGCCATAATAACTCTCATGCCAATAATAACTCCAAAAATTTCAGAATTTTTGATCAAGAATTTCGAAAATTGTGGCCAAAAATGTTGATTTTCCGAAAAAACCTTAATTTTTCGCGGTTTATCGACTATAACTTCAGAAATATTATATGAAAAATTCTGAAATTTCTGGAGGAGGTAGTCAATAATGTTAAAGAAATTTGAGAAAATTTTCATAAATTTCGGTTTCGCCTAAGTGTCAGTTTCTAGTGCTGGCGCCCTAATGGCCCCGCGACCTTATGACCCCAACCCAAACATAACTCTTGAATTTTACATAATTCTTAAACATAATTCTTGAATTTATTTAAATACTTAGTTTTTTAAATTAAAAATCATTTTCAAAAATCATCCTTCTCTATATCATTTTTTACTTAAGAAAATGTTATATTTCTGGTCGCAAAATTAAAAAAATAAATATTTAAAAAATTAAAAAATAAAAAAATTTTTCAAATAAATTTTATAAGATGTAATTGTTGAGTACTTCGGCTGACGCCACCCTTTTTTGTTCTATTTTTCATGTTTTATGACAAATTACATAGCTTTTCTAAAGACTAACAATTTGTAGCAAATTTAAGGAGCTTTAAAATAAGCCCAAAATAAAATTTTTATTTTAACTGTAAGGGGCCGAAAATATCTTTTAAAGACGTCTACCCCGCAGTTTTCCGTTGATTCTCGGGTTTCAAGATCTTGATGATGGGAGTACATCAGAACTTAATTTCTTTTGTATTTCTTATCTATATTAATAGATGTGTTCACAAAAATTTTTGTTGATTTTTCCCATTATTAAAAACCTATAAAACAACGGTGGGCTTATAATTTTGGAACACATATTTTAAAAAAGTTTCAGTATTAAAAGTTTCAGTATTAAATATTGTTTATCCCTCATCCATACATATAGCAAAAAAATTTTTTATTGAGAAAAATAAAAGTGCGGTTATAATTTTGGAACAGAGGTTTAATCCATTGCAATAGCACAAAAAGCATGTCCACCGAGGATTTAGCTTCATAATTTTGTTCAGAATCGCCAAATATAACCTATCATGGTATCATTCTACCCTTCGAACAGGCCTTTCAAATATATATGTATAATAATTTACATATCAATAAAAAAAGTCAAAATGGTCAGTGAAGCAGGAAAAAAAGGTGGGCGTCTGCCGAAGTACATATTATCGATCAAGCCTTCCTGCTGGTCTCGAATTAATAGTATAACTTGTCATATTAAA